CCTGCTGAATATTGAAACTGGAATGATCAATTTGTACAAAATACAGGCAGAGGTATTTGCTTGTATTTTGTTTTACCTTATGTATGACAGCATTGATAGTAGCTTAGAGCAGTAGTATAAAATTTCCATCCATTTATTATCTTACCTGCTCATATAAGAGCCAAGAGTGGTGTGTCATGATGACTTCCAGTCTTATGCACTAGCACAGTGCTGACAAAGCTGACCTCAAAAAAAAAAAAAAAAAAAAAGGCAACTTGAAGATTTTACGTGCTACAACAGTAGACTTTACTGTCATGTTTGCAGTATTCCCTATTCCATTGGTAGTGTCTGCTACTGCAGTGCAGCAGTCTGTGATTATACATACCTAACTGCCGTATCAGGAGATGGTAATACAAATTGCTGTGTGGTTCTGAGCTAAGTCAACTGTTTTATACAACAATGAAGTTGGTGCCTCTTACAGAAGTGTTTAGAGAATGATGCTGCAGAAGTGAAGTGAAGTGAAATGACGTAAAGATGAAGAGAATTAGAATCTCTTCAGACTGGGTATTTTTTGAGATTGAGGTACACAGGGCAAATGGATGAGAGGAACATTTAATGCTTATGAAAAATGTGCTAATTTCTAGATTGCTAATGTTCTGCTTTCGTGCCAGCTAGTATTATTGCATTGTTTCCTTATGCTCTTGGCTGTCTCTTGTTTTCTCTCCTGCCTCTCATTTGAACTATGCGAACATTTTGGCAGCGTCTGGGTTTTTTTCTTCTGCATTTGTACAAACCTAACAAAACAGGATTCTGACACTAAAGGTCAGAAATAGTGAAGTACCTTGGGAGTCTGGGAAGGGGCAGGAAGCAGAAAGAAAAACATTTTGATTGAGGACCCCTGAATCTGTAGATTGGATTCAGTGTTTGGGGTTTCGGTGCCTTGAAGATCGGGTTTGGGCATACATACTTGGTGGCCGGAAGAAAAGAGAGGAAAAGCTTTCTGTGTGTGGCAAGCTTTCTGGTAGCGGTGCAAGGCGTAAAATTTCAGAGACGCCTGTGCAGACTCACTCCATGAGCACCCCATTCAGTTTAGGAAAGCATGGAGCATTGAAAATTGGGGAACCATGTGACAAATCCCAGTAAAAGAACTGTTAAGCGAGATCTTTCAGAGTGGGTTTTAATACCTTTTCTTTTGGTTTTGTTGTTTGTTTTTTTGGTTTGTTGCTCAGTGGTTTGAATTCAGCAGAAAGGTGAGCACTCTTCTCTTTAAAACAGTAAGGGTATTAGAAAATGAACAGTCAATTATGTCTGTCTTTTTTTTTTTTTTTTTTTTTTTGAGGATGTGGGTCATCCATTTCCCTTCTCCCCCAGGTTAAAATATTATATGGAATACTCAAGGGAGGGATAAACGAGTGTCGCTTTTGATTTGGTTTGGGTTTTTTTTATTGCTGACACTGTTGCATAAGCAAACTCAGGCTGTTTTTTATTTAGCTGATGGTATTGTAAGAAATGTACATGCATTCATAAAGCGATAGCAGATAAGTCTGGAGCACAGAGATACTTTAGCTGGATTTATATATACTTTTTCCTGTAGGTTTTTTAGTGTTATTTAATAATTCTCATTCCCTAACTTCAGTCCAGATTGGTTATTCTCAATGGCTGCAGCAATGTCTAAGCTGTGCAACTTAAATTTCTTTATATTTAAAAAAAAAAAATTACAATGTCTACTTTGGGTGTTAAAATCATAAGTCAGAGAGTGTATTTTCTTTTAGAAAATGCAAAAGGTAGAAGATTTTCACTTTAAAAAATCAGGATGTCATTTTTAATATGGGCCTAACATAAAACATAGTTTTAAAAGAGTTAGCAAGAAACATAATGTAAAATCTATATTCCTGTAATGTTTTATGCAGGGTTTCAGAGATGAAACACCTTTTAAAGAAGAAATTGTTGATGAACCAAGTTTGGACTTGAGAAGGTCATTTCAGCTTTCTCAAAATGACAATAAGTATGAGAAGGAGTCCTGGGAGATGCATGAATTTCTGAAACCCAGAACAGAAGTGGATGAAGAACGGGAAGTGTTGGTGGATGATGAGTATGAAGAAGATTCAAGCTTCTTGAAATATAATGCATCATGTGGACAGAAGGCAACTTCAGAGAGGAACCTCGGTACAGAACGATGGGCAAAGCAGCTTGAGACTACTGAAGTACAAGACTTAAGATCCAGTGTTAACTTAAGTCCGAAACAGTCCCTGGAATATCCATTCAATAAAGATGAAATGGTAAGGAATGCTGTCTTGGTCTCAGTGCTGTACTCTGACTATGGGACCCATACCTCAAGGCAAATTCTAGACCTAAACTCTGTAAGGAGTCTTTCTAGTGTTTTAATTACTGGATGAGATCTGGGTACCTCTAAAGGACACCAGTCTATCTCTTTGTACATTTTGGAAGGTTCTTTTGGTTACTTAATGTCTGTATATTTAACTGCTCAAATGAGGTATGTGCTGTGGTTGGTGTATTTATAGGCATCCTGTACTTGCGTCCTCTTTCCCATCTCTGACTTGTGGGCTCAGTTCTTTTTTGCAAGCTGTACTAATACGGTGCATATCAGTAATAGCAGAACGTCACTTCGTGGTTTTAATAGTCCAGGGGCTTCAGCAGCAATGACAGTGAAAGGAGCTCCCTCTTTTCCTCATTATTTTTAATCCAAATCAGTTCCTTAAGCCAGATGATAGTGCAGTTGAGTGAAAAATTATATGACGGAAGCAATTGTAACAAGCATACTGGTGGATGAAGGAGTAGAAAGGAGACAGAGCTTCAGGTAAATTGTGAAACTCTTATTTATATGTCCTCCTCAAGTATTCTGAGAATTATTTTTTTCTGAGTCTTTGTTCATTCACTTGCCAAACAAAAAAGTGATAATATCAGCCTTCCATGCACCAGCTTCCGAGATGTATGCTTTTATATGAAAAAAATGAGGTGGAAAAGGATTTAATATCACAGCCACAGAGAATTTCAGGTTTTGTTTGGCTTGTCCCCTTTTGCACTATGTACATAAACAGGCTAAAATGCAGCTTCTAGTGACAGTTTTCTGTTAGAGTGCACAATATTAAATTTATACATTTGTTACTTAAAATCAACAAATGAGCAAGAGTAAAGAACTTGTCTGAATTACAAGCAAGCAGAAAGATAGTTGCTTTATATTGCAATTGCACATAACATTTTTCATGCCTCTTCTTAATATAGTGCATAAATGAGCAGTTAGTATTTCATAGTTATCTGAATAAATATGAATGTAGTTGAAAAAATGTGAATGTTTGCTGTAAAAATCAATGTTCATGAAAAATACCCCTGTATAAGTGATACCATTGCTTTCTAACTTCAATTACTCTTTTTTTTCTTCTCTGTGAAGTGTGAAGAAAATGCTAGTATAACTTCACTATTTTCTGGAACCACAGCACACAGTGGCTACCAAAAAGACATATTTGGTACTGAAACTACCCAGTCAGGAGCAAAAAACAAGATGGATTTAGGTTTGTAAGAAGTTTTTTCTTTACCTTATAATTTTATATTTACAAATTTAAATTTTATACCAAAACACAAATTCTTTGAAATGATAAAATATTCAAATGAAGACTTCTGCAGGCTCAGAACAGTCTGGCTTTAAATAGGTTTCAGCTTCATGATCTTGCTTCCTCCTCCAAATCTTTTCCTACAATTGTCACAAGTGATACTGAAAGTGGCTGCAGCTTTGTCCTGCCTGTGGAGAATCACGTTCTTCTGTGTAGCTAATATCCCCAGTAGGACTCCATGCATAAGTAAAATAGCTTGTGCCTGTAATTTCTGTCAGGAATTTGTTTCAGTCACTTTTGGTTGCTGATTTTATAGATTTTTGCACTTTAAAACAAACAAAAAAATGTGACAGGCTCTGGAGGTAGCTTTACCACAACCAAAATTCGCAAGTGAACTCTATGGTAGATAATTGTCCCATATCTTGGTTTTGTAATCGGTGCTCAGGAGCAAAGTTTGTCCTTGTCGGATGGCCAGAGGTAGATGGTTGGGTTTTGGTAGATCATCAGGGAAATAAATTTATCAACCTGCCTGATATAGCACTCACTGGTTGGGAGAAAGGAGGTTGGGTTGTTTCCTTTCTTTGTCACCTGCATCTTGTACAGCAGACACTGTGTAAGCTACAGTGGCAGACTGACGACTCTTGCAAGGAGCTCTGTTGATACTTATGTCACCAAAATGACATCAGTCTTTCCCAGTGTGATGGGGTTCTGTGCTGGAGCAGGGCTTTGCACCATTCTCCCCGCATAAAGGATGGATTCACTATTTCTAATCATGTGGTTTTGTGAGGAGCGTCTGTCATATAGGTTGTACCTAAGCATGTCTCAGTTCCACAAAGATTTGATGTTTCCTGTTACTATTTGACTGTATGTATGTCAGAAGCAAGGTGCTACAAAAAAGTGTTTGGTGTGGTTTACATTTCCTTCAAAAATAAATGTTCTGTATCTTTAAGCCTCTTGATCATCATACAACATCCATATTTGGAACATGGTGAGCTAAGGGTTTTCTTTCCAAGGGTGATATCTGGTAGATGCAGGGACAGAGGAAGCAAAAGTTGACATCTACACCTTTTCTTCTTCAGATACAAAGCTTCGGATTGACTCTAAAGGACCTGGGCTTGCTGTTGATCTGGAAGCTATTGAAAAGGAAGAACTAAAAGGGGAGGATTATGTTTTTTCCAAGAACCCAGAATCTGGGAGAGTAACCACCTTAGCTCAGCCTAGAACAGCGTTGTGCAGGTATGGAGAAAGATTTCAATTTTTGGAAGATTTTCAATTAATGATCTTAACTGTCTTCTTGCTTTACTTAGCTGACTAATCATCAAAAGCTGTGTGAAACAGTAAGACGTACATAGATGGCCACAGTTCTGTGACTTTTGCCCAAGGAGCTGAATTTTGCCTTACAACCTTACTGAATCTTTACTTCCCACGTTTCCTCCCCTGAGTACTGGGGCAGAAAAGTGTGAATGGCTCTGCCACCTACTTCACTTTCTCCACTGTGAGGGGAGCATGGATGTGGCCTGGAGGAGAGGGACGTAGCCTTTACTGGCAGCATTGGTCATTAGTGCTTAAGGAGCTCTCCCCTTAGCTCCTTTTCATAGTTCTGTCCTCTTGGTTTTCGCTTTCCTTTGTTCTTCCTTTTGGGAAGAGCAGTTTAGCCATGGCTCTCAGGCCTGTGCAGGAAATTTTAGCCTTGCCAGTGGTGCTGAGAAACCTTGAGCTGGCACTGGTTGTAGATATTTGCCACATCTGTCAAGTGTCCCATTCTTTCCCCACCAGTTTTGGGTGAGTAGTGGATCTGCTTTTGGGGCCTGTTGATTCCAATCCTCAAGTACTTCCCTAATTCGTCTGTAATCTTCCCTCAGAGGGAAAGCAGCTCAACAATAAGGATTATTTCTCCAGCACAACATCCTACTTCCTTTTTGCAGTTTAAGAGTAGCATTTACAGCTCTCAGGATCTACATAAAATACGTGCAAAGATGTATTGTTTCTACCTTTCTGTGGGGGCATGCAGTTCCATACTTCCGTTCCTATTCTGTGAATGGGTGAGTCACATATTGGATAAAAGTTTAATTAGCACCCTGTTCTGAGGTGTTTAATGGAACACACCGGATCTGTTCTCCCAGTTGCATCATGATCTACTTTCTGGTCAGCTAGACTGGTTTTATCATGTTTATATCCCTCTATAAGAATCACAGCATATTTATCAGAAAGTAAACGTTAATTGCTTAAATAGTCATTTTGAATGAGTAAATGCAGTGCAGATTTGTATATCACAGAGCAGCTTATAAATTTGGTCTGCCCATCATGTTTATTTCTGGAGCATTCCTTAAGTACATTTAAACCTAAATACAAAAATTCCTGTCTAGTCTGTTGACTCTGCACATTTGGTTTAAACTGGACAGTGTGAGAAGGCATTGCTGTCTCACTGCCAGATATAAAATATGCAAGGAATTGTGACCTGGCATGGGTGATGCCTTTTTTATTTTTTATTCCTCCCCCCTCCCCCCATGCCCCCAATTAGTGAATTACCTGAGAGAGAAGAAGGAGAAGGAGAAGAAACTCCAAACTTCAGCCACTGGGGACCACCACGGACGTATGTTCATATGATTGCATTATTTCTTCCCATTTACCTTATGTCTTTTTTTCTGTGAGCCCTATTAGTGCTCGTGGGTTTTTTTTCTCCCCTCCTCTGCCAATAGCTTTTAGGTACTTGTGTACCTTGGGCTTTCTTAGATACAGTGAATTTTTAACAGATGTTCAACAGAATTATGCCTTCTATTTATACAGCTGACTTGGGAAAGCTTGGCGGGTTTACGTTGTGGATGACCTACAAGTTCTTGCTCATTTCATAACTATTAGGTGTGAACAATGCATAGTGCTGCTGTCTCCTTTTCCATGGGTTCTCTGCTAAGCTTAATGGCAGAATTCCAAATTGCCAAGCCAAGTTTTAGCCACATCCTTGTTGTATTGTTAACGTTTTTAGGTGAATTGTTTTTATGGTCCTAAGTAAAATATGATCAGAAAATTTCTGCTTAAGCTGACTAGTATGCATCTGATACACTGAAGTCAGTCTTCAGAAAGTTGTATGAAATGCTTTGGTTTATTGTTTGTCTAGCATAACACTTGTAGTATTTGCCATTTCCAGACAATTTGCTCAAACTGAAAGAGGATGAGTGTTTACTTGAAGACCTGCCTGTTTTATCCTGACTTGCTCTGAAATAAAAGCCTGTTTGGAAGAGCGAGCAGAATTTTGTTCTTTTTGTCGGGTGAGGTCTACTGAGGGTAAAAAGCTGCCTCTGTTAAAGCCAGAAGCTTAAGAATGCTCTCATCCCTTTACTCTATGAAATCTTCTTGAAAGACCAGAAGCTTACATTTATTTAAGGCTTTGCATTTACAGTTTAAAAAACTGTTTCAAACTGTTGAACTACCACATGTATTTTTTCAGTGTTGAGATCTTTAGAGACCCTCATGTGTCTCTTGGAATCAGTATTGTTGGTGGACAAACTGTCATAAAGCGTCTGAAGAATGGAGAAGAACTTAAAGGGATCTTTATCAAACAAGTTTTGGAAGACAGCCCAGCAGGAAGAACAAAGGCTTTAAAAACTGGAGATAAAATACTTGAGGTAAATGCAGATAAACCTACCTTTTCATTCTAAGAAACAAAGATTGTGACTCAAACAGCTTTGGGAGGAGAGAGGGACAAAATACTGCCACTACTTCATGAAGTATTGACGACACTGTGTTTTAAAAACCAAAAGAAACCCCCAATGTCGTCTTTTCTTTTTTTTTGAGGTCTGACTATGGAGCTCTTTTAACTTTGTCCTCTTTATTTAAGAAAAGATAGGTCCTGGTATCTGATGGGGAAATGAAAAAAAGCGAGTGCCTTCTTCCCATATAAATGAGTAATAAGTTATAGCATACCTTTATAAGCATAAGTTATAATATATAGAAGAACAGACTCTTCATACTGAAATTTGGTCTGTTATTTTGTGTGTGTTAATTTGGAGTAGTTAACAGTCTGATTAACTACTATTTGGGGGAAATCCTTGATTCTGGCAGGTGCCACAGGGGAGAAAGCCATTCCTGGCTCTCATCTCTGGCTCTGTGTTCATTTTTTACTAATTTTTCTCCAAATGAATACTACTGAATCTGCGTTCTCAAGCTGATAGTGCCGTTCTTGTATGTGCTTTAGGGTTGTGTGTGAAGTTTTGAAAAATTGTTTCAAATCAGGTTTAATTCATAAACAGGTAAAATCTGAAAGAATTGTATTATACCTACCATTATATCTAGCATTCTCTGACAATCTTATTCCTTATGTTTTTATCTAGAAGGATTGCTTTGGGAAACATTTGGCCATCTTTTAATTAGGAATACTAAGTAATATACTTTTCCTTAACCCATCATGGAAATATACTTTAAAAATAATTTTTCTTGACTGCTTTTGGTACCTTCCTCAGATATGCTAAATCTTCTGCGAATGTGTGTGATCTCTTGTAATGACTCTGTGCCAAAAACAAGCTACCTAATAAAAATAAACATTGTTTGTTAGGTTTCTGGGATAGACCTACAAAACGCCACACACGAGGAAGCCGTAGAAGCTATCAAGAATGCAGGAAATCCTGTTGTGTTTGTGGTTCAGGGTTTGTCTAACATACCAAAAGTAAGTTTATTTCTATTTTTATTCCAAAACTTAATAAATGTGTAATACCCTTTTTTAACTTGGCTAAATTTCTTTCAGCGAGTTCCATCAATTTTTGTGTCCATCCTTTCTGACAGAGTTTCTGCTTACAGACCACATGATTGATTGATTACTTGTCTGGCCTGATTTGAAACCTTGTTTCTCTGATGTAAATCAAGTAGATGTAAATCTGTTGACTAGGTGCTAATTCAGTTCTCCCACCTGTGTAATTGAGTCTGGCTCTGTGTATTTTAATTTGTTCATATTTCATAATCTAAAAATACACTCTGATATCCCAATGAACAAAAGTGTAATTAAAATTCGCCAGATTCACACTAGCAACTCTGTGTAAAATATGTCATCAAAGGCACCTGAAGTAGTTATTTGGGAACAAGTTAGATTTCAAGAGATTTAGATGCCTCCTCATCTGCAAGGCCAAGGCAAGAAACCTTTCAATGCCTTAGTAAGAAAAGGCATACAATTCTGCCTGCCTTGAAGTACACACAAAATCCCCAAGACTTCTACGTACTTTTGGTATAATCTGACAACGTAATTGAGAATGTTGGCGGATTAATAGACCTGAGGACACCTTTTTGACAACTGTAGACAAATCTGGCACAACTGTGTCCGTTATTTTTCCAGTGCTCCAGGGATTCTTTCAAAATCTATTAAGACTTTCACCAGCTATGCTGGGAAGGTGCTCAAGCAGTGATGGCAAAAGTCACGGTGATGGTAACTGAGTTGGCTCCCTTTCTGTATCGCCTTTTTCACAGAAAAGATCCAAAAAAACTGTCAGAACATTCAAGTGTTCAGCTGCATCTCTGTCCCTTACTTTCCTATTCAATCTAGAGAGATCAAGGGAAAGACGGATAACTTGAAATTGAGTTGCTTTGCTTTGAACTGTAGGCTATAGGAAACTGGGCATTCACAGACTCTCAGCAGTACTGCACAGTCCCAACTCCTATTCACCAAAATAAGGTGCTGCCAGAGGAGTGGGAATATATTACATTTTGAAAGAATAAAGAACAGCATGGAGGAATATTACGTAGAGGCTAAACGTGCTCTCTTTTGTAAGGTGTCTGTGTGCATGGACACTGGTCTCTATCTGAATAATTAAGAACTGACACTTCAGGAGTCCATACTGAGCTCTGTATCAAGGATGTATATCCATATTGTTGACTTCAGAGTAATGTTTAAATGATTGAAGAGATGGGGCACTAAAAAAAGCAGGGAATATTTGTAAATTCAGTAAAAGAATGTAATTTAAAGACTACACTGCAATACCCTTCTACATGGAGCAAAATGAAGGGTGTACTGGCTAGCTTTATTGTTGTCATTACCTAACTTCTGGATGTTTGTTTTGCGGCTATAATGCTCTTTCTAATGTGTGTAATATATGCATTGTTTTTCAGGTAGTTTCTGCTGTACAGCCTAAGGGAATCAAAGTCAGCAAAGATCAGGATGCAGGCAGAGAAAATAAGAGTGAAAAGGTATTTATTCCATTCAGTGCTATAGCCAAGTTTTACTAAATCAAACGGTATAGTAGCATGCATTATAACTCTATGATAAGCCCCCCTGAAGACTGAAATGAAATTTGAAGTGTTTTGTTGAAATGTCTTTGATTCAAGTAATTTTTGCCAAATTTCTGCCAAATACAAGGCATGTTTCTGAGAAATGTTCCGTGGGTCTCCCCTGGGTGCTGAAACCCTGTACTTATTGCAGCTCTTCACTGGCATCTTTCTGGAAGTACCTGCTTTGCTCCACGTGGAGGCAAATTGATTCTCTTTGTTCAGTAGAAACAGAGAAATAATAACATGTACACAAATTATATCCTTAATGTGAGTCTGGCTGAAATTCAGTAAAATCATATTATAGGATAATTAAATCCACTAAGTCTCCTACGTCTCCCATTGCTGTGTAAAACAAGGAAATGACCAAGTGATCTGTAGCTGGCCGGCTAATTGTGAAGCAATTACTGCACCGTAACTTTCAAGCAACTTCACAGCAGATTTAAAAGGGAAAAAAATCTAAAACAGTAGATTTGTTTTAGTCGCTACAATAAGGGAAAAATTTAATTTCTCATTCCCAGCCAGATTGCTCGAATGGCGGAGTTATTCTCCTGTGGGAACTGTGCTGACTGATGAGTGTAGGTCAGGTACTTTGAGGGTGTCAGAACTGGAGGAGCAGAGACAGCATTAGTGCAGACAATAACTTTTGCCCGGTGCAGTTTAACATGCCAACTACAAATACGATGAGCTTTTCATTTGATCCTACTCAGTAGTCTGGTGTGTGGTGGATAACTGGGAAGGCCCTCTTGCCTCCAAAAGTTTTTGTAAGACTCCTTTCAGATCCTGTCAGATACAGAAGCTATGAGGCTCAGTTATTCAAAAAAAATCAAGAAAGGTGTTGAAGTCATGCTTTCATGCCAGTGGATAATACTTATTATGAAGCAGTTACAATCCCCTTTTCTTGGTTTTGTTATCTATATTTCTAATCTCAAAAGCGCTTATCCTCTTGCAACGTGCTGCCTTTAATCTCTAGGACTCCAGTGTGTTGCATTCTGTAGCGTTCGGAGGTTAAAGGGGGAGCCTAATATTTTTCAAACCTTTTTCATCTATTGGTGCTGTAAACTGGTAGGTGGAATATAGAAGAGCTTCAGTGCATAAATATGTAGCTCCTTTTTAGCTTTGAACATTGATTCAGAAAGCAGTCATACTGTGCTACAGTAGGGGCATCTCTGGGTTGGAAAGAGTTGCTATTAGTGGATTACTAGTCCGCGTCCCTGTGGGGAATCAATGATATTTCTAGTCCAGTCTTCAAAGTGTCACAAAAGAGTTTGATTTGAAAGCAGTCACATCCAGCTGGAAAATCTGCCTTTTTCTGTATGATGAATTATCTTTTCAATACTGAAGGTTTTCTCTGATTTCTTGGTGCTTATCCTCCTCTCTTGATCTCTATTTGTTTAAAAATGATCACTTGAAGCAATTTATATAAAACCACTTAAAACAATTGAGCTTCTTGTGAACAAACCAGATATTAACGTTATTTTGCTGGTGGGCCACGTAAACTGCGCTTTTTCCTCTGTGCTGGAAAGAGCTGTGTTAATACAAAAACATAGTATAATGGAGTACTCTGGCACAATTTACTCATTTTCACCAGGTCAGGAGGGATGAGAGAACCTTGTCCTTCTGAGTCATAGCAAACTGCTGGATAAGCTTAGGCGTCTGGTGTAATTTCACACAGACTTTCTAATAAATGTTTAAGGTCTTAAAAAGCCAAAGGGTCAACATTTAAACTATGAGTTATTACTAAATTATAGTGATACTGCTGATTTGTCATAAGCAGATGAAAGTGGGGCTGCAGGTTTTCAGTCTTCACCTGCGCAGTAACATAGAACGTGAGTCCTCTCGCGCTTCCTGGATCTTCTGGATTTTGCTGGCGTCAAGCAAAAAGTGGGAGGCGTATTTGGTGTATTGGATACTTTGGGGAAACAGCTGTCACCTTTCCAAGTGCTCTTATTATACACTCTTACTACTATTGAATTGAATTAATTTCATTTATTATTGTTATACTGTCTTCAAAGCAGCACTTTCCTGTAGTGTTTTTTAAATGGATGGGATGATGTATACTTTATCTCACAAAATTTTCTATGTAGCTTGTGTTGCAGTTTGCTAGTTAGACTATTCTATACAAATGTAGGCTCAAGATTTTAGAAATTCATATGCAGGTTCAACTTTCATTGTACACAGTGAAAAATTTTATTCTGGGTTTGATGTTTGGGTGTTGAGTCGTAATACCCAGCTGTAGAAGAAATTAATTACGGGCATTCTGGTTGCTCTAATGGCATATCGTACTCAGTGTTCCCTTTCTAAAGTGCATCCTGCTATTAGTAGTGGGGTTGCATGGGATATAGTTGAACATAATTTAGTGAAATCATGTAGCAAACTAAGGCACGATCCAGTTACTCGGCACTATAAAAGCAGTTGCTCGGACGAACAAGCGCCTGTTTGCATTAGATTCAGAGCTATTCTTTATGCCTGCTATGCACCGCTATATGCATCATTATAGGAGATGCCTGTATTTATGTGAGGTAATAGAATTTTATCGTAAGTTATAATTCAAATTCTTTTTTAAATTGAAGCCAAAATATAGATGAACTGTTATGTTTAAATATTTGTAGATGCACTAAGAAGATTGAGTTTTTATTTTGTATTTAAAAGTTTTACTTTTATCAGTACCAGACAATTTTGTTGTTCAGCCTCTAATGAGAAATGGGATATGATTTAATGTTTATTTTTAACCCTTGATTAACATTCACACTTTCCTGTTTATGATGATACACAAGTATTTCTTCAACAAGTAAATGTACATGCACAATTGTATTTTCTTTTTTTGATGTTCAGTGTCACTTTGTTCTGATTTCTTGCATAAAAAGCCTATGCTGCAGAATTTAGCAATGTAATTAAGAGCTGTGTATGTATACATACAGTGCAGTAGACAACAGGATTTTTTTTCTTGTGCGTGGAGGTTACAAAACATATAACTATTTTTCTTTGAATCCATTAGAGAAAATATGGGGCTCCACCTCCAATGAAATTGCCACCTCCTTATAGAGCACTTGAAAGACTGCATGCAGAGGAAGCTAACGTGGATGAAGAGGAGGATGAGGATGCTTGTGCAGAGAGTGAGTCGTGCCACAATCATTATGTCAGATTACATTTATGGAACACAGTCAGGTTGTGATAAACGTATCTGCCATTTATTGCTTGTATTATGGGAAGTGGTGCTCCGTGGGGCAATAGCAGCTAATCCTCAAACTTGTTCTTACCAAGGGCTACTGATTTGTAAATCAGATAGTCTTCTCTTCCCAGCCAGGCTCCTATAGCTCAGCTCTTCTGAAGAGATGTAGGAAGGGCTCTGTTTATTTTCAGCCTAAAAATGTCTAAGCAATGTCTAGAGGACTTGCTTTGGCAGTGATGTCAGCGGTGAAAGGCAGATGTTGCGCTTTACTGTTGTAATTGCAGTGGTAGTTGAGCAGGCATAGGTTGAGAACCACTGGTGCATAGTCCTTGTCCAGAAAAGCCTGCAGTTGATTTCAGACAATGCTTTTCAAGCAAAAAATTTTCCTTTAAAAAGAAAAATCTGCTGATTTATTGTCTCAGTACTCTACTGAAACAGAAGATCCCCTTTTTTTGTAGCACCTTTTATGGGAAAGGTTCTGCAATTGTCCAGTTCTGGGTTTTGCAGTGAATTATGATGATTTGCACTCTGTAGAAGAGTAGGGACCTAAAGAATAGGATGCAGTGCAACTTGAGAGCTTCCAGCAGTGTGACTTTGATTCCAGCATACTGCTTTGTTAATTCCAACTTTGGATAAATGGAATATTATTGTCCATAGCTTGTCCTCCAATAAAATATTTAGGAATACTAAAATCACAGTTAGGAGTCCTAAATTATTTTCTAAAATTAGTTACCTTACTTTTATTTTTTTCTCTTTACACTCTCTTGTACCAAATCAGCATAGGTGGGGGTTTTGTTGGGATTTGGTTTGGGTTTTTTGCTACAGTGATTTTTCTCATCATCTTTTGTCTTGGAGAGGTTTTTGTTTGCCCTAGTAATGGGTAAGCCAAAGCAGAGAGATGCCTTTGTAGCTTTCGACCTTGAAGCGACCATGGCTCCCATTCAGAGTGGAAGCTCCTAACTTGGGGCCTGCTGGTGAGAAAGCTCTTCCAGCTGCTCTTGCTGATTTCCTTGGCAATGGTGTGCCATTGAAGCTGAGATAATTAATGAGTTTGGTTGGTTTGTCACTTTTACGGCTGCTTTGGTGGAGACGAGAAGGATTTTGGAAGGTTGTTCTCATGGAAACAGTAATGGGGGCACAGAAGCAGGATGTTCAGCTCTGCCTCTGTTGCTTTAAGGGAAAGCTGCAAGTTCTTGAAGGAACTGAGATTTTTCCAGAACTCCCCCTTACTGAGTTTGTCATCTCATCTGTTTGAAGTATGCTACATAGTTACCTCAAGAAGGTTTTTCAGTATTTTTGTGGGGAGTGGTAGTCAGGAGGAGCCTTTGACTGCAGACTCTCTGGATGTTGGGTTGAATATATCTTGTGCTTTCAAACCAACCCTGTAAACCTCCAATTGTAGCGAACTGATTTCAGCTTGTTATTAAAGTTATAATTCCCAGTTAAAGGATATATTTGATAAGTAGCCTGACACCTGAGTTATCTAATTAGGATATGCCTCAATCCAAGTGCTTGCTAGACCTAAGTTAATACTTTGCACAGAAATAATTTCTTATTGATGAGCTTGGTCATTTTTTAGCTGTTCTGCCATCCCTAATGATATTGCCTGAAAAGGTAAAGCCACTTCTGATATTAAATTCATCAATCCTACCAGATTTGGCAGCAGCAAGCAGATCTCTTCAGATGAATCTCTCCCTCACAGCATCCTTCTGGACAAGTTGTCCAGCTGTGGGATCCGCAGGTTTACGGTGCGCTGGATGAAGAACTGGCTGAAGGGCAGAGCTCAAAGGGTTGTAGTGAATGGGGCTGCATCTGGCTGGCGACCAGGCACCAGTGGTGTTCCTCAGGGTTCAATTCTAGGGCCAGTTCTGTTCAATATATTTATCAACGATCTGGATGCAGGAGTTGAATGCACCATTAGCAAGTTTGCTGATGATACCAAACTGGGAGGTGCTGTTGACTGTCTTGAGGAGCAGGAGGCCTTGCAGAGGGATCTAGATAGATTGGAGTATTGGGCTATGATTAATGGGATGAAATTTAACAAGTCGAAATGCTGGATTGTGCACCTAGGACGGAGTAATTCCAGGCACAAGTATAAATTGGGAGAGGAGTGGCTGGAGAGCAGCCCTGCAGAAAGGGATCTGGGGGTGCTGGTCGGCAGCAGGCTCATAGGAGTCAGCAGCGTGCCCTGGCAGCCGAGAGGGCAACCCGCATCCTGGGGTGCATCCAACACAGCATAACCAGCTGGTCAAGAGAGGGGATTATCCTGCTCTATTCAGCATTGGTGCGGCCTCACCTTGAGTACTGTGTGCAGTTCTTGGCCCCACAATTTAAGAAGGGTGTGAAGGTCCTTGAATGTGTCCAGAGGAGAGCAACAAAGCTGGTGAAAGGGCTGGAAGGAATGTCCTATGAGGAGCGGCTAAGGACTTTGGGCTTGTCTAATTTGGAGAAAAGGGGGCTGAAGGGGAGCCTCATTGCTCCCTGCAGCTTCCTGAGGAGGGGACATGGAGAGGGAGGTGCCGATCTCTGCTCCCTGGGATCCAGGGACAGGACGTGTGGGAATGGTTCAGAGCTGCAGTGGAGGAGGTTTAGACTGGACATTAGGAAGCATTTCTTTACTGAGAGGGTGGTCAAGCACTGGAACAGGCTTCCTAGAGAGGTGGTCGATGCCACAAGCCTGTCAATGTTTAAGAGGCATTTGGACAGTGCCTTTAACAACATGCTTTAACTTCTGGTCAGCCCTGAATTGGTCAGGCAGTCAGATGATTGTTGTAGGTCCCTTCCAACTGAAATAGTCTAGTCTATTCTATTCCATCTCATTCTCTCTACCCTTTTTACTGACTGAAGTTGAATGTTTTGCAATAGCCATCTTTCCCATGAATCTTGGAAAACCAAGATATGCCATTTTCCATTTTATTCTTCCCCACCTCATTCTGTTTCTTTAAAATGAAAAACAGGCTAAGGAAGCTTAAACTAAGTTTGTACCTCAACCCTTGGAGTAAAAAGCGTGTTAGAAATGATCTCACTGTACTTAATGATATTAAGTATCTTGACAGCTGTGGAATGGGCTTTTACAGAGTCTCTTTTCTGTGATCACTTGAAAAACAAAGTTTTCTCTATAAATTCCAGTACAGTATTGTTTTTGTGAACTACTTGATGTTCATAACTTCTGTCCTGGTTCTTGAGCACATTTCCCGGAAATATCAGTCCAGGCCAGTACTTGCCTTTTTAACACTGTCCTTCTGCATGTTCATATTGGTCTACTCCTTACCCACTTATCCTACTAATTCTACTGGTTTTGTGATCTTAACTAATAATTTTCTGAGTTTCAGTGAACAGGTGAATGTCATAGGCTCTCCTTCTTTCATTTACTTCCTGTAGTTCTCAGTCTGTGCCAATAGCATGGAAGGCCTTAGCGGGCATTTTGAGGTGGGACAGCTGTTAAATCTGTCCTCTGGTTGTGCTCCTGATGGATTTTATTTTATTTTTTAGCATTCTTACTAATACAACTGCAGTATCACAAACCTGCTCATCAATTTCTTTAATACTCCAGAAATACTTTACTTGCTCCGCTTGACATTTTTTCTCTTTGCTTGTCATGTCTTTCGACCCATGCTTTCATCGTTTGTCTCCATGTCCTTCATCATTCCCCATACTGAAAATGAAAGCAAAGCATTGTTAGCCTTCCCACCATACTTAGAAAATTTTTCTTTCCTTTCTGTCCCATCCATACTGCCTCACAGAGTCCATGTTTTGTCTGTTTTCCCTTTAAAGTGGCTGAATATCGGTATTGATTTAATTTCCCCTGTGGGATCTAAGTCCACTTGCCTTTAGGCAATGCTCCCTTTTATTTCTGCTTTTCCACCTCTGAAACTGTAGCTTTCATTGCTGACTTTTTGTAACAAACAGTCATTTCTTGTAGATGTTCTGCCTTTTCTTTTCAAAGGTTGTTTTTGATCCAAATAGAGTGAATTGTTGTTTGGGATAGAACTACTACGTAGCTCTTGGTTTAGAGAAACTCCAGACATCCTCCATGTTTCTGTGGTTTAAGAAGTTTAAAGATGTTCAGGTGGTTTTTTTTCAAATGTGTCTTCTTGCACCCAAGACCCTTAGTTTCAGACCTGCTTCTCTTTATATTTCAGTTTCATTTGAACCACCATTACTTCCAATATTATTTTCTAAGTTCTCAGATATTTTTTTGCTAGACTTTGAAGGCAAGTTGAAAATAGCATTTCCTCTTGTTTTATTTCTTCTTGTAGTGATACTGTCAAATCTTTATCAGTATTCAACTCTAACCCTGTGTGGTGTGGTTTTTGTTTACTCTTTGCTTTGACTTCGCTGTTTTAAGGCTTTCAGTTTATGCTTTAATATAGTTTTGTAAAGCTTGCAGCGTGTGCATCCTGCTGCAAAAGGAGCCTTCAAAATGCTTCATCTTACAGATCTGAAAATGTTACAACATGGGTTTGGAGCTTTTCCTCCCCACACTGAAAACGCTTCCTCCATGGCAAAGGTTATTTTGGAGGAGGTCACTCTCCGTGAAGAGGCTTTTTTGGCTTCCCAAAGCTTAAAACCATCAGGTTTTGAATAGGATTTTTTTTTTAAATCAAAACAGTAAAAGGAGGGGAGAGCATACAAAGGAGCTATTTGTACTTGCAAGCAGCTGTGCTACAGACTGCATCAATAGGCATTGGTGTGTTTTCTTTTAGTGGTGGATGGCTGTAGGTGTGCACTGAGGATCTGCTAATAGACTCATGTGCACCCTGTTGGGGCTTATTGCTATAATGAGGGGTTAGTAGTAAAAAGAAGCAGAGGAAATGGATGGGCAGAGTAGTTTGTAATGGAACGTTTTTTAAGGTTTTCCTTGGGGCATTCATAACTGTACAATTTAGATACACTTTTGTGATTGAGTTGAAGCAATCATAAGTTAAATAGGAAAGACCTTAA